TCAGTGAAGTGAAAACTTTTTGCACAAAATTCAGTTAGATGAGTATGTGGCCACAAGTTTTGTTACAAACTGTGAGGCGATTTAAAACATGCATGTGCAACGCTAAATGACAAATCAATCACAAACTCCGTGAATGCACTTTCTAATATAGGAGGCTTCTCTGTTTATTGTGCACTGGGTCATATTCAAATTGGGAAGTGAACTGTGCGGAAGAAAGAACGAGTGTAAAAATAGACCTAAAATTTGCCTTACCTTTGCAATTTTCGCTCCGTTGTAGTTTGCAAAACGATTCAGGGTAAGAGTCAACACATTAGAGCTACGGTGAATTGTGAGTCTCTTTGAGGCTGGAACCATTTTCTTGCACCTATGCAGACATTACGAAAACATTATTAGTCAACGTGAAAACAGAAATGGCATCGGCAGCTAACTGGAAAACCTTTTCTCAGGGAATGTTAAATCACTTTCTTCCCCCAATAAATTTCAAACCTCCCATAAATAAAATGCTTACTGGGATGAGGCTGACCTACAAATAAAAAATATTGTTAAAATACCTGCACAGATTGCACAAGCACATATTCCTATTTTTTTCAGTTTGAGTGATAAAAATATTTTGTAAAAAAAAAAACACGAGGCAGAATCATTAATATACCATTTTCCCAAGGCAGGGCCACAGCTATGATTTCTCAGACCAAGGATAAAAAGGTATTGCGAATCCCACACAGTGCATTTTATAACAAATTCAAAAATGATTACATATGACATTCACAGCCTGCACTCGCTCGGGAAAAAATCCGACAGTTGCCCCTCCCACCAGCACCCCAGCTTCACTTGCAAGTGTGTGAATAACACTTCTGCAAGGCGGTAATGTTTTCACTGGCGTTTGTTAGTTTGTTTGTTTAACAGTATGTCAGTTAATGGGATATCTCAAAAAGTTACAGATGGAAGTCAATGAAATTTTGTGTGTTGATAAATACTGTGCAGAGGAGGAATTGGTTCAATTTTGGTGAAGATCTGACTCGTATTTTTGATCCAGGATCCCAAAGAATTTGTAATCACGTAAAGATATCGCTGTCGAGCACCGGTGTCCATTCAAAAAGTTACCCTGGCCATTACCATGACACCAATACCCAAATCAGCCATCAGATCACTTCTTTGAACAAATACTTCATGCCAGGAGAAATCCATATCAGACATCCTCTGCCAACGAATTTAAAAACGGCGGAGGCAATGCGCTCTTTTGAGTGTCTTCTAGTTCCATTCACTTTCCTGCGCAAAAATGGCCAAAAATCACGCAAAGTAGCAGAAAAAAAATGGTACTTACTTAGTACATTTGTAGGCATTCTCTCCGTCCAGTTGCTCAGGTCTAACAAACTGTTCAAGGGCTTTGGTGATGTTTAGTGCAGTCTGAAAGAGCACACAACAGATCAGCCCACTTACTACACAGGAAATGCTAAAGAAATTTAAATTTAAATGGAATGACACCCCCATACTACACTGCTGTGCCCAAAATTAAATATCTGACAATGATAAATTACTCCATTTAAACGAGTAATTTCAGGCACTAGATACAAGTAAAATGAATTAACCCATTCCAAGACTATTGAAAAATCAAGAAAAAATCACAGAAATATGAATTACCTTAATTTCCAGGGAAATATCCAAAAATGGATCATATGTGTCAGAAACTGCTTTGCAGTTCAGACATTTTACTAAAAAAAAAAAAAAAGGAAAGAAGCATTTGTCATATAGACACCAACTGTGTCACAAATTGATTGTGACTTAGTATGAATAGTAATATCACAAAATCTTAATGCATTACTGCCGATGTGTCTGTATTAAAATTCAAGTCAAAGACCGTCAAAGTAAGTTCGGAACGCATCCTTCGTAATCTCAACACTTTTGACAGCTACAACCTTCCATAATCTTGTCAGAAATCTGCAACTGGAGGATACTTATTTGGTAAAGGCATCACACTGAGGTGTGTAGGTGACCTCCGCATTCTCAGATGAAATCCGGACTATGCCATTGTCAAAAGCGACGTAACTCTACAAAGGAAAACCCGATGCCACTGTGCTCATAAGAGTGATAGATGGTTCAGTCAGACAGAGGCAGTATTTCTTCGCTCCCTACAGAAGCCCACTATTCGCTGAGGCACCAGTAGATCACATAACACACCCTCATACAACAAGTATATGAAATGTTTCCTCCAAGTCCACCCCAAGCGATGAGAGCCAATGATATACACTCGATGAAGTTGGGGTTCATACACAAATGCAGATATGGCTGGAATAATTGAACAGGACATGTTTTAGCGATATGTTGGCCTTTTTTTTTTTTTTTTTTTTTTTTTAAAAACAAACCATTAAGGAAATATTCTCCCAAAAATGATTTGTCAAAACATACAAGCTATGTTTGCAAAATGTTTATATTTGTTAGCCTTCCCGGTTCTTGAGTGTCCAAAGAAGAAGCTTACCTCTTGATCTCAGATAGCCTCCAAAGATTTGATGTATTAATGTTGTTGCCTGCGTATGCCTGTCCAGTCTGTGACAAAAGACAGGAACAAAAAAACTCAATGAAAAAATAGCACAGAATTTCATAAGCAAAGTATGACTGAAGACAGCCTCAGACTACTAAGATTCATCTACATAAAAAAAATAGTGGCAAAGCCGCTGCGCCCGCTTGGCCAAACATGGCCAAAATGGAACGCCCCCTATTGGCCAAAGTATCGGTCCTATTCGGCTCAAAATCGAACTTGGTCTACACCTTGTGGCCATATATACACATGTGAAATATGAAAAGGATCGGTCAAAAACTGAAGACGCTAGAGCGCAGACAAGCCAAAAGTTTACACACGCACACATGGACGGACACACGCACGACAGACCACCACTAATGACCCCGAGCATAGCATAAGCCCCTTTGGGCCTTTTGGCCAAGCAGGCTAAAAATGGTTATACATCCAAAAAAAAAAAAAAAAAAAAAAAAAACTATGTAGTGCAGAAATTGAGAGAGGATCACAGACCACCAGGATTCATATACACAAAAAATATTCACATGTTCAAAAAAAATTAACTATGTAGTACAGAAATTTAGATAAAAGGCCACAGACTACGAGAGCTCATGTGCATATAAAACATGTAGGTATAAGTCAAAAAAAATCCAGGCAGTGTAGCAATTAGGATAAAAGGCAACAGACAACTAAGGTTCATGTGCACAAAAATATTTATACGTCCAATAACATTAACCATGTGGTTCAGAATTTCAGATAAAAAAAGACAAAAATTGCAGTGTGAAACCCTCTCCGCAAACGTACTTGTTCCCAGACAGGCAAGACTTTTGCATAGCTTCGACGGTGTACCGCAGGAACTCATGAGCATCCTCCTGGCTCCCAAAGCGAAAATGTGTAGCAATGCCTGCAAACGAAAACAACATTAACTTAAGGAATACAGAAAATATGCACTTGGATCAAGGGCCGACATAAAAATACACGACAAGAAAGAGACGCGACTCCAACCTTACTGTTAAGATCCAGACGGCAACTACAGTACTTACGTTTTAACTCATTAACAACACCAATGGGTTTGATGACATTGCCGGAGTTGGCGAAGACCTGGGTGATATGATTCTGCATGGTGCACATCATGCAGAAACCAGGCTCATGACCTGTGAAGTACAGAGAAATTCAATGCAAGTCCTGAAGGCAAAATACAGAAAAACTATCAACCGGACGACTAATATGAAAGACATACATGTTTTTGAATGTTCCCGGGACAGCAAGTAATTGGCAAGGGGTGGCGTGTAAGTGAGACACTGCAGCGCAGAGTTCAGGAAGCAAGTGTTGCTGAGGTTCTGGAGACCAGCTCCTACGCGGTGGACTTGGTTCCATTTCAGGTGAAGTCGCTCTGCCGGGAAAAGAACTTTCTGGGGGACAGCGATGCCATCTCCACTGATCATCACCACTGGAAAACGCAAAAAATCTTTAGGTCATTCCAAACAAACATTTGACGAGTAATCATTTCCAGAGGGTCACACACAAATAGGGATGTGGCGATGTTGAACCGCGATTATTTTAAAGCGTAGTAAGACCACCAGCTGGCATGAGGCGAACATGCAAGCTTGACCTCTTCCAGTAATCAACCCAATACAGTTTTTAACAAAATGCTGCCAAAAGCCGAAAGTGCCAAACATCAGAGGCCATGTGAAATGCTTCCGGGAAAAGAAGAAAACTGAACACACGTCAGTGTTCCTCGGGATGCGCTGAACTGAGCTATGTTGAGGTCTGCAGAATCATCTCCTTTTAACCAATTAATCTCATCCTGTTCCCGTTTATTTGGCAGAATTAGCAATCAAGAGTTGATTTGCAGAATTACTTATTCAAATTTGTAGATAGTCCAATTTATTAAGATGGCTTTTTTTAAAAATTAAAAAAATATATATAAAAATTTAAATGGCCATGGAACATGCATGAAAGCGATTGCAAGATTTTTTTGTGGGCTTACATTTGGCCATTTCGTTCGAACGCGATCATTTATGTCTCATGTTCACAGTTCGATACGCTCAAGAAAATGTTTCCCACCTTGTGTATTTTTTAGACACTTAAAATCCAGGGCGATTTTAAAATTAATCTCTATTTTTAATTAATTTTCAATAATCAGCTAAAAGTGCAATGATGAGAGATGGAATTCGAAAAAAATTATTTTCTAATTCCTTATATTATTGGCATTCTTTCAATCATACACTAGCAAAGTTACATCTGTTAGCTCTTCTCTATCGCTTTTTTTTTTTTTTTTTTTAAAGATAATTTTGTGGGAATTTTTCCTTTATTTGACAGTTATATAGTGTAGAGAGACAGGAAGGTTGGGGAAGACGTGCAGCAAATGACCTGAGCCGGAATCTAACCCAGGTCGCTGCGGGAAGGATGCAGCCTTTATGGTATGCGCGCTTAGACCGATGAGCCACCGGGGCGCTTCTCTATCACTTCTTAATCATTATCATTATGCGGCGGCATGGCTCAGGAGGTAGAGCAGACGGCCTAAGAATCAGAGGGTTCCCGGTTCAAATCCCGGCTCCTCTAGCGAACGTGTCGAAATATCTTGAGCAAGACACTGAGCCCCAAACTGCTCCTGGCGCGGAGATTGGCCCCTTGCATGGCAGCCTCCCCCATCCGGGTGAATGTGAGTCATGTCATGTGACCAGTAAGCGCTATATAAATGCAGTCCGTTTACCATTATCAGCAACAGGCTAAATTGCTTGATTGTTATTTAGGCTTAGCAACTGAGAAAAGCCAAAAATCCAAGATGGCCACCGTTGCCATGGTTACCAGATGTTTATTTTCATTCAAAATATGACGGATCATTATTTTGGTCATTTTTGAAAATTATTCAACATATAGCAGGAAAAATAATCTTTTGTTGATTTTTTGTCTCATGGTAGATCGCCCCCTTAACACATTCACAATAAACTGAAAAAAACATACATTGTCAGCATCCAGTTTTAAAAGTAAAAGGTTCTAAAGAAACTGTCATCAGCCCAAAGAACAAAAAAGCAAAAAGTATTTGTTATTTACAGTTTTTTTTTTTTTTTTTATAATTTCATTACGTGGGGACGCCACACAGAGAGAAGCATTCAGGGCACTAATATTAAAGACTACTTACTTTGCTCCTTGGGCCTTTCTCCTGTGGCAGCTGCACAATTACTGTACACAGCCGCACCAGGGGTAGGGCCCACGTAGGCGGTTTTGGTTTTTGGGGTGTCGGAAGGTGTTGAACCAACACCCCAGCTGGTTGAGCTGCCATCCATATCGCCAGAGGTGAATGGAGTCAATAAACCAAAGTTCTTGAGCCGATCTGACTCGGGGTCAGACTTCTCTGATGGTTTGTCAACTATGGTCATCATTCATTGCTGGTAAACAAAACACATGTGGAGAATGCACAAAACAAAACACTTCTGTAGAATGCACAAAACAAAACACATTTGTGGAATGCACATTTCAAAAGTAATCAGAAGCATAAATCGGCGACATGGATTGTGCCGACACAATCCATGCCATGCTAATGCTAAACTGAGCTCAGACAAGGCATTCAGAGTCCTTTTGCATGTTGAGCATAATCCACACGGCAAACGAAGATCATCGATATCGTAATCAGTCAAAATGTGTTCATGAATTTTATCAAGCAAATTTTCGGTGATCTTGAAATTTCCTTTTCGGAAACAAACCAGGCAAAATTTCTCTCGGCATTCAACGTGCAACATCTTTCAAGTAACTGGGCACTTGAAGTGGTTGACACCAAATTTTGTTCACCTTTATTTAGTAACATCATTACATCCTGGTGCAATCTATTGATTCCATGTCCTTACCATTACCTAATGCTTATTATGCAATTCAAAATAGGCCTTTTCAGATGAAATAAGTGTGGGTGGAATTTGTGGAATGCAGTGAGAACTTTCCTTGAAACCATTTATCCCAAACAAGTCACTGTCCTGCAATGAACTGTTATAGGTATCAACTATTGCGTTCTTACATAATTATTTGATCATACAAACAAAATGGAGGGGGGTTTTGAATTGATAAATAGGCAATGCTTGGGGAAAATTGTTAGTTACATTCCAAAAATAAGAGAAGTATATCTCAGAATTCATGATTTTTTAAAAACGCAGATATCTCAAAAATTTGCTTTGGAAATTTTAAATGGTTTTCATGGTTGATACTATAGTGGGCCATATAGAACAACTCCCAAGCATTAGTTTCTCTGGGCAATTTTTCTCAACTTTCTTCAAGTTAAAACCTGGTGTGTGCCGATTGGAGCAAGGAAATCACGTGCCTAATCTGGCCTAATCAGAGAATTAAATAGCAAGCGATTAAGACGGGGACACTGTCAAAACATTGACGACAGCCGAGTGCAAAAGCCACGTTATGAATGATGCTGAGTGACGATTACAATCCTGGGATAGCGACTACCCTTCAGCATTACGCTACTTGATCTGAAGACTCCACACTTATATTTTGATATACGCGTAAACAGCAGTAATGTGCGCAATGAACTGCACCAGACTAAAAACACATCCCCAGAGGTGTCAGCTATGATAACAACCGCATACCATGAACACACAAGGTACCTTGCAACTTCAGCGCCAGCTTGCCAACATAACAAAAACCGCCCCCTCTCAGTCAACTTTCAGCAACGAGTACGAGCCAGCTAGCTCAGCTCAATCGTCAACTGCTTGAAGCTCTCTGGATGATAACCATTAACATACAGGAACGAAAGAATCCAAAAAGCTAATGCTGTTGTTAGTAAAACATTGTACTTGCCTTAGTTACCAGTGGCGAAGAACTGTAAGTAAAGCGTGATCCAAAGTCAACTGCAACGTAAACGTTGTAGTAACCAACAGCAAAAACATTTGGTCACATAGATACACGATGAGCAACGAGCATCATTGAGAAATGCAGAAATAGCTATCAGTAAAGGTTACTGTGGTAAATCAGTAAAGGTTGCTATGACTTAATGCGTCATGGTAACCGAGAAGATGAGTCGCTGCGAAAAGGGTAGACTAGTACTGCGCTGGGCAAGACCCAATTGCTGTGGACAGGTAGTACACAGAAGCCGGCGAGTGCGGCTAACACAAGCAAGAATGATTCGGTTAGCTAGCAAGGCTACCTTGGCTAGCATGGATACCAGTTAAATACCTTAGTGATCAGTCAACGAGGTTCGTTTCTGTCGGTGCGACTGACAAAAGGAAAATTAAATAGGACCTCGAAAATGCTTTAATGGTCTGACTTTATCATCTGATAATGTTTCAGGCAGAGGAAGGGGAGGATTTTACACACACCGGCGGCCGCGCACATTTGTCTCAAATACCACATTCACTTCGATCAGGAACCGGTGGACTCATGATAGCAGGGTAACCAGCTCGCTAACCACACAAAGCTTTTACGAATAAGGAAAACAAACGCGCCACAGCAGACTGTAACGCTACACTTATTTTGATTTTAAAAAAGTAATTATTTACTCGCCATTAGTTTCATCAAGGCCATTACCTGTTGTTTAGTAAATGGTAGTATATATCAGTTATTGTGGCTGTTCCTGTCCATCCCCTTATCCAGCGGGTGTCCGGCGGTGAACAATGACGTACATTTCTCACGGTACATCCGGGTATTTACGTTTGAGAAGTTCAGTTCACGTACATCAGAGGGAGCTACTGGATATTGGATAATGCAGAACAGGCAGTGAATTGTTCAAGTTGTTGTTGTGGGCAATCCAGCGTCCCATATTTTAAAGACAGTAGCTCTGATTTTTTTCATTTGCTGCCTATATTTCATGTAGTCCACCGTGCAACTTTGCTATCTACTTTAATGCATTGTCATCGATTCCATTCCGAGAGTGCAATTTAGAAATATGCCATTATGCCGATTCAAATCGGGTGCAAGCCTCTTATTGTTTGCAATCCAGTTTGGGTATTTCAGTTACTCTGAAGAAATAACGTTATTTTGCCATGATGCGAAATCGAAATGGGGTGCATATTCTTTTAATTTAAACGCAGATTTAATAGTAAGGAAAGAAAGTTTTCATCGCAAGGTATCATTTTCTAAGACGGCTTGGCACTCAGCGCTGGGAAGTGAACTTCGTCCAGACCGTAGCAATGTGATCATGACATCATCAGTGTGTGACGAAGAAAGAAGGTCGGCCTTTGTGAGACACGACTGGTAGCCTACAGTCTATGCTAATAGCACGTTCTCGGTCTGGTAGGGACCTGAATTCTGCCGGCGGTGCTTTGTTCACAATATTGATTTTCTTTAGTCTGTTTTACCGTGTGCAATTTTTCGTTAGCTTCGAACATGTAAAAGAACTGGCTCTGATATCAATGATTAATCAATGTTATTGTGATATGATCACCCGAGGACGATGCATCTGAACGGGGCAGTCGTAGACGTCTCATATGCCGGAGTTAAAACCGATAACTCTTGCCGCTGCAGTCACAGCTAGACATTTTTCTAACATTTATATTACAAAAAAGTTTTCACCCATTCTTTCAAACTATGCAATAAAAGTAAATTAATTTACTTACTGGTATAATGGAAGCCTACCTGATAAATATTGAATAAATATTAATTGTACAATATATTAAATTACCGATTGATGACGTGACAATTTCTGTTCAACTCAGCATGTACCCATTAGCTCGAACTTACACTAATCGGCCACAACATTAAGACCACCTGGTAATATATGTCCCCCTCGTGCTGTCAAAACAGATCTGTAGGACTGACGTCCACTTGAATTGCAAAACCCGGGGTTTCCCAGCAGAAAATTCTGAAGTGCATCATACTTCCTTCACTAGTTTTTCTCCCTTCCGCAGTGCATCCTGGTGCCATCTCTTCCGCAGGTAAATGGAACGCACAAACCCGGCCGATGCACATGCACAGCAAATGGGATTCACTGGACCAGGCAACCTTTATCAGTTGCTTCCAGGTCCAGTTCCTAAACTCACATGCCCATCGTAGACTTTCGTTGGTTGAGTAGGGTTAGACTGTGCACCCTGACTAGTTTGCAGCCAGAAAGCACAATATGCAGCAGGATGCAAAGCCCTGTGTGCTGTGTGACACATTCCTCATATGATTAAAAGTTTCTGCGACTTGTGCTACAGTAGCCCTTCAGTCAATTCGGATTAGATGGAACAGCCTTTATTGCATGAAGGAGCATTGGAAGCCCAACACCCTGTCACCAGTTCATGCTTTCTTCCTCCTTAGACCACTCCTGGTCAGCACTCACCGCTGCTGACTGGGAGCACCCTAGAAGCCTTGCGGCTTTGGAGACTTCAACCCACTCACTCATCGGGCCATAACGATTCAGTCTTTGTCAAAGTCATTCTGGTCTCATATCTGCAACATCCAGAATGTTGATTATAAGAACGGACAGTTTATTTACCATTGAAGGTCTGCCTGCAGACCTTGACCCATTCCATTGTTATTATAAACTTTCTTTGCTTCATCTGTGAATGGTTATGTTTTGGAATTTTTTCAAACTCAATCTTTACTTGTGATTTCAGCAGCTGTTACAAAACTGTCCCAGTAGAGTC